GAATTTTCTTCCCTTTATTGACATCTTGAAGCGATTCTGCGATGTAGCTTGCCTGGACTCGGACATTGATTACCGATTGATCGGTAAAGGGGCTTCACAAAAAACATTTTTCGTGTGAGTACTGGATCCGTTGACATCGCCGAAATTTGCAGCTGGGGAGTCTTCGCGATGATTGCAGGAAATCTCGAGACATAGACACCACCAAGGAATTGGAAATTATTTTCAAAATTCTCATCTCGAAAGAGAACGATGTTCCGCGGGCGAGGACATTTTCGATCAAGGGACACAACGTGGAGTTATCCAAGACTTGCGGAGGAGTTGCCTTTGTGAGCTTCGATGAGCTCTGTGATCGGGTCCGTTTTGTGGCTTGCGTGAAATTCTGGTGACAATTAAGGTGACAGTTTCTCGGCTTGCAGCCTCTTGGTGCCGTGGATTACCTGCATTTGAGCCAAATATTCCACACGGTTATATTGAAGGACGTTCCCGAGCTGAATATGCGGAAGAAGAGTCAGGCGAGACGGTTCATTACGCTGATCGATAGCCTTTATGACCACAGGGTGAGAAGAGATATGCCTTCTTCTTAGATTTGGCTTCGAGTGAATCATGTGTGATTTTGAAAAAATTCAAGTGAAAAAAAAATTCGGAACGTGAACCGGGTAAATGACAGGATAATCTTCCCTAAAATATGATTGTAAGCATCATAAACTCACAGTCAACCCTTGATTTAGTGCCAACAAATTCTCTTGGTGCTTCAAAAATTGCCTTGTGCTGGATGAAAAATGGGCCAAAACCGAAGAAGTGACGGCATTTTTTGGATACTCCTTTTTTGAATTTACGTTATTGAGAAATTTTTTCGTTGCATGACATTTTTTTGTTTTTACAGTTTTATAAATGAAGTGGGAGCTTTCCTGAAACCAATGACGATCCATCAATGATGGAAACTTGTATGAAAATCAAAGGAACGTTTAAGAAACAACTAAGCTCTTTTATTAAACAAAATACCTGTAAATATATCCTAATCTATTGTCATTTAAATGCAGTATAAGCACAGTACATTTGAACTTCAAATTATTCATTACGCTGTCTCCCTTATAAAACAGACCCTGTGGCCGAACAATTTTGGAACCAAGCTTATTTTGCTTACAGTAACCCTTGACCTTCCTCTCATGCAAA